AGTAGTAGTATACTAATACTACAAACGAAACGTAACGTAAGACCGTACCGTCGGGTAACGGTAACGTAATTACTTACTTTGTTAGTTGTTACTCTCTCTCTCTCTCTCTCTCTCTCTCTCTCTCATTCATGACTGTTAAGGTTGTAGTTTTTTCCCTTTTTCAGGTAGGATTCTTTTAAAAGGCGACAATATTACCCTGATGATGAGCACGTAAGAAAATTTATATCCCTCTCCGAAATCATTAGTGTGTTTCTCTTATAATTTTTACAATCTTTGAGCTTATTTCTTTTCTTATTTTAGGGGAAAATGATCAGAGGATTTAGAGCACTCATACACGACCCCATTCGGATTGTATTATCAAGTTTTTGCGTCCTTATCCTCCTATTTTAAGTTGGTAGAGCACTCACAAGTCCTCATTTACAGCAAGAACTTTCTTTTGCCTTATGTTGTATTCACTATGGATTTTGAAGTACATAGCTGTTTGTCATGTTCTTGTCCACTACACTTTAGCAGAGCCTGACAAAGATCCTAAGGATTTTCCTGCCAATATGTGGCCCATACTAACCTTGTGTTTTTGAGCAAGCAACCGGACGTGTGACCTCGAAGTATCTCTCTCTCTCCCTCTCTCTCTCTCTTGTCTGTGCTAAACACATGAGTGCTCATGGAACCATACAGTTTTGTTTATTTTGACAATTTTAGGCCATTTTAACTGTCTAAAGCACCAAAAACCCAATATATTCAGCCAATTCGAGAGTTCAACTTTAATTCAATCACAAAAAAGAAAAATTAAAGAAAAAAAAAAAACTTTTTAATTGTATGTTCGTTAGAAAATCAAACTTTTGAATATATTAAATTTTTTTTTTGGTTTTAGGGAATTTGTAAGTGGTACTATGAACCTAAGAACCGTCCAAATGGATCAATTTATGTTTTGGGTGGTTTGAAAATTAGACTTTTGAAACCGGTTTAAAATGAGAATAAGAAAAATTATTGGGACTTTTTACCACTGTTTCTTTCAGTCTTTGAATCTCTTTAATCTTTGCTTGTAATTGGAAGCTGATTACTAGAAGCTTTTTTCTACTGGAATTTGGGGGAAGTTGATTACTAGAAGCTTTGTTCTACTGGAATTTGGAATTTTGTTTGAGCTCAATTTTTTAAAAAAAGTTCCTTTATTTATGTGTTCTCCCGTGGGGGCATGCTGTACATTTCCTACTTTACATAAAATTACATGAAAATAATATTGTGAATTCAAATTTTCCCATGTGCATGGTGTATTTGAAAACCTGTATTGATGGGGTGGATAATTTACCGTATAAATCCACATCGAATTGTAGGATTGGTTATCTGGATTAGTTTGGATTGGTTTAAATTGGTGATCTAGAAAAATAAGAAAAATGAATATAATAAAATAAAATAGAAATTAAAATAGGGGTATATGGGTTTGGGATTTAGGGAGACCTAAAACAACAATAGATAAACTTTAATAATAATAATAATAATAATAAAATATACTAAAGAGGGGGCTTTAGAGAGGAACTAGGCTGGGATCCATATCATCTCTGAACATGTTCGGTCTCGACAGATTCCCCATCCTATCAATGATCCCGATAAGGAATCGGGGGTCCCGATATCCGGTGGAAACCATTGGGATTATGAACAATCAAATTTTAATGTTTAGGAACTCAAAAATCCTTATTTTTTCCTAAAATGCTTTTGGTAATTTTAAAGTGGATCCAAAAAAATTTAATCTGTCCTTAACTAGCACTTTGCCTAAGGGAGCCAGCATAGAGAGTGCTTTGAGGACAACACTTTATACACTCTTTTTTCAATGGAAATCATCTTTGGGGGTGTGGATGGCCATAGATGAGCTTAAAATTAAAAACAAAAACAAAAAATTCTTTGTATGACCAAAAATAATCTGAACATTTGTGAAAAACATATCCCACCATAATTTCAAGGGGCTCCACCATGTTAGGGGGTGGGCCGACCACCCACCCAATATGCGCCCTCTTTTTCCTTGGTTTTATTCGTTCTTCAGGCATAAAAATTGCAGAATGTCAGCGATTCTTGTGCTTATGCTCAAGTCATTCAATAAAGTTTCAGCTTCATAGCATGTGCAATTTACATCAAGTATTTGTTTAGTTCTGGTGCCAAAAATTTCTTCCAATGATTTCTCTCTCTAGTCATGCTTTAGAAATTTCTACCACTGAAATCTATTTCTCCCTCTAGTTATGAATTATGAAATTTACGACTCAAAACTATTTGGAATTGTATACAATGAGACCATTTATCTTTGACATAGGGAGGTAACAATTACCTATAACCATCCGAAGTGAAATCTGATATTTTGGGTGTGTCATAAAATTTGAGAAAATTTTTTTCGAGCTTTAAGTTTGATCAATGAAATAAATGTGGCCACTCAATTTCACATCCATTGGTTAAGATTAATTGTGAGCACCTTATACCAAAGATAAATGTCTCATCATATACTTTTTCAAATTATTTTTATTTATGAAACTGACCATTTTTAAAATTTCTATCATTATAATCTATTTTCTACCCCTAGTTATGAAATTGATGACTAATACTTGTGTTATAAGATGCATTATTTTTAACGTTTAAAATCCTTTTTATATTCCAGCATCACGGGGTTGAGATGATTAGATTGAGGGTTTTTCAATCTCACAATTGCTTTTTCCATTAAGTTTTCGAGGCGCGCCGTACTTGCGTTTTGTGTGGTCAGCGCCTTGTATAAACTTTTCTATTTATATTAAAAAATAATTTTGTAATATAGATTTTAGTAAGTTTCAAAACTTTTGGGGAGGGCGAGTGTATCTTACATTAATGAGAGACATCATCCTGATTGAGATATTAGTCCCCATAATTTCAAAGTTCGAAGGAATTCCATAAAAAAAATTATAGGACTATCATTATTGATGGATCAAAATGGACATATTCCCTCTCTATCGTACATTTGTACAGTAAGATGAGAGAGATAGATCACCAGTTTTTGCATTGAAAAGTACATAAAATTAAAAGAGAGAGAGAGCGTGTGGTACCAGCTTTTGTACGGGACAGTGTACAAAAGTTGGACTGAGTTCCTCGATGGGTTAGAGAGGTCGACAACGAGTATTTGCACTGAAAAGCAAACAAATTTAAGAGAGAGAAAGTACCGGCTGTTGTACGGAAAACCGTACATATTTGGAATAAGTTTATCATGTGGAATAGTATAAGAGAGGAGATCCAGTTTTTGCTATCACAAATAGAGAGAGAGAGAGGGAGGTTTCTTATGTGGATTTGCTTGAGAAATAGAGATCCAGTTTTTTAAATAAAAAATTAAATAAAATAAAATAAAAGATATTATATATTTATAAATATATTATAAATGTATATATATTGAAAAATTATATAATGAGACCGTTTATTTTTGGTACAATGGGTCACAATTAATCTTGACCATTAGATATGAAATTGGGTGGCTACATTTATTGCACTGACCAAGCACAAAGTTCAAAAAAAATAAAATTAAACTTTGCGACACATCCAAGCTCTCAGATTCTACATCCGATGGTGATAAATAAGTGTGACATTTTCGTATAAAAGGTAAATGGTCTCATTGTATA